AGGGTGGTTTATGGGTGAGGGGGGTTTATTATTAGCCTAAAAAAACTAATAGAAAACGAAAAACAAAAAAAATAAAAAAAATTGCCGCTTCCGTGGGCCGCGGTCGGTCCGCGGTCGCGGGACTTTTTCCAAAAAAAAAATTTCCTTCAGGGGTTCCCGCGGTCGCGGAACGCGGGCGTGGTCGTGCCTTTTTTTGTTTTGTATACGTTACTTGATTATACTTACAACAATGTCGTGGGTTGCCTCCCACGCAGCGCCTGATTTAACGTCGCGGCACGACTCAGATGAGCGCATTTTATGGCTCGTTCGACCGTTGTGGTTCGTTCAAGTGCAGTGCAGATCCTTCTTTAGTTTCACTCATCCCCACATATAGCTTCAAACGCTGACCATTGACTCTAAAAGTGCGAGAGCCATTTTCAGCAGCGACTTCCACAGCTCCTGACGGAAAGACTTCAACAACCCGAAATGGGCCAGACCATCGTAACCTTAACTTGCCCGGGAACAATCTCAATCTTGAATTGTATAGTAGTACCATGTCCCCGGCTTTAAAATTGCGCTCCACAATGTTCTGATCATGTAGTCGTTTCATTCTCTCCTTGTATAGCCTTGTGCTCTCAAAAGCAAGATGGCGGAACTCCTCCAGCTCGTGCAATTCTGTGACCCTTGACGCGCCTGCTGCTTCCATATCAAGATTCAGCTGTTTCAGTGCCCACCACGCTTTGTGCTCAAGTTCAACAGGTAGGTGACAGGCCTTTCCATACACCAACTTGTAAGGGGACATCCCAATTGGTGTCTTGAACGTTGTTCTATACGCCCAGAGTGCATCATCTAATTTCCTTGCACAATCAGTTCTTGTGGCATTCACTGTTTTTGTCAATGCACTCTTTATTTCCCTATTAGATACCTCAACCTCTCCACTGGTTTGCGGGTGGTATGGAGTAGCTACCTTGTGACGCACATCATATTTAGTCAGCAGCTTCTCAAATGCTCGGTTGCAGAAGTGAGTGCCCCCGTCACTGATAATCGCCCGTGGTATCCCAAAACGGGTGAATATGTTCTTCTTCAGAAACCCAACCACAACCTTTGCATTGTTGGTGGGTAATGCTGCAGCTTCCACCCATTTATACACATAATCGACAGCAACAAGGATGTACTTATTACCATACGAACTGACAAAGAGACCCATGAAATCTATCCCCCAGACATCAAACACTTCCACTTCCTGGATTGGGTTCATTGGCATTTTGTGGCGCCGGGAGATGTTCCCAGTGCGTTGACATTCATTGCACTCCTTTACCCACGTGTGAGCATCCTTGAATACCGTCGGCCAAAAAATCCAGCCTCTAGTACCTTTGTTGCTGTCCTTATTCCTCCAAAGTGCCCACCATAAGCCGACGCATGACAAGCCTGCAAAATAGAAGATTGTTCTATCTCGGAGACGCATCTCTGGATCATGTTATCCAAGCATATTTTAAACAGTTATGGTTCATCCCAATAGTACGAATAGCTTTCGCGAAAGAATCTCTTCCTCTGGACCGATGAAAGGTCGTGAGGAACTATACCACAGGCCAGGTAATTGGCAAGATCCGCATACCATGGCGCTTCCTGATGAGTGGTTGCGAGCAGTTGCTCATCTGGAAAGGTTTTCAGAATTTCCTCTACCTCAATTTTGTTTTCAGCTCCCTCAAGTCGTGATAGATGATCAGCGACTTGATTTTCAGTACCCTTTCGGTCACGTATTTCAAGATCGAACTCTTGTAGCAATAGCACCCAACAAATCAGGCGTGGCTTAGAGTCCTTCTTTTCAATTAGATATCTAAGAGCTGCATGGTCAGTGTATACAATTACCTTCAATCTTATCAGGTAGGACCGGAACTTGTCGAATGCGAACACTAAAGCCAGCATTTCCTTCTCCGTCACTGTATAGTTGAGCTGGGCTCCACTCAGCGTTCTACTTGCGTAGTAAATTGGATGCATCAGTTTATCCTTCCGCTGGCCCAGAACCGCTCCCACTGCGTAGTCACTTGCGTCACACATTAGCTCAAATGGTTGCTCCCAGTTGGGGGCAACAATGATCGGTTCTGTGACCAGCTTCCGCTTCAGCTCCTCAAAAGCAACCCTGCAACGTTCAGTAAACACAAAACGGTGATCTTTTTCTAATAACTTACAGAGGGGATTTGCGATTTTAGAGAAGTATTTAATGAACCGCCGGTAAAAACCGGCATGTCCAAGAAAACTCCTTATTGCTTTGACTGATGTTGGTGGAGGTAGCTTTTCTATGACGTCAACTTTAGCTCTGTCTATCTCTATCCCCTTGCTTGACACCCGGTGTCCCAAGACTATACCTTCTTGCACCATGAAATGGCACTTCTCCCAGTTTAGCACCAGATTCGTCTCGATACACCTCTTCAACACTCGAGTTAGATTCACGAGACACTCATCAAATGAATTTCCCACCACCGAGAAATCATCCATGAATACCTCCATAATGTCCTCAACCATATCGGTGAAGATGGCCATCATGCACCGTTGGAAGGTGGCGGGTGCATTACAGAGGCCAAAGGGCATCCTCCCGAAAGCGTATATGCCATAGGGGCAGGTGAATGAGGTCTTCTCTCGGTCCTCAGGAGAAATAGAGATCTGGTTGTACCCTGAGTACCCATCTAGGAAGCAAAAGTGCAACCTCCCAGCCAATCTGTCCGGCATCTGATCAATGAAGGGAAGTGGGAAGTGGTCTTTGCAGGTGGCAAGATTCAGTTTCCTGTAGTCCATGCATATTCTCCACCCAGTGACGGTTCTAGTAGAGATCAGTTCATTGTTGTCATTCTTCACAACTGTCACGCCACCCTTATTAGGCACACATTGAACTGGGCTAACCCAGCTGCTGTCAGAAATTGGGAAGATGATTCCCGCATCCAACCATTTAATTACCTCTTTCTTCACCACTTCCTTCATGTTTCGGTTCAGCCTCCTTTGATGTTCCCTGGAAGGTCTGTGTCCCTCTTCCAGCAGAATCTTATGCATGCAATAAGCGGGGATGATCCTTTTGATGTCTGCCATGGTCCACCCAATGGTAGTCTTATAATCTTTCAACACCTGTAGAAACTGTTGCACCTACACATCTAGCAAACTTGATGAGATAATAACAGGTATAGTAGAGTTAGGACCGAGAAATTCATACCTGAGGTGAGCTAGCAATGGCTTTAGCTCCAGCTTTGGTGGTTCTTCAATGGATGGTTTTTCTGGAGGGCTCTCTCTTTTTTCTAGGTGTAGGGGTTCAAATTCTAGACTTCGGTTCCAAAACCACCTACCCTCTAATGCTAATACCCATTCTGCCAAGTCTTCACCATTTACATCTTCCAAATTTGTCAAACATGCCAGCAGGGGATCCTCTGCAGTCAATGCTTCATCATCTGACTCAACAATCACATCAATATCATCAATGAGAGAGCAATTTGCGAACTCCCTGGGATGTCTCATCGATTTTTGCACATTGAAAATAATCTCTTCATCATTGAGCCTCATCTTAAGCTCCCCAGTCTCACAATCAATTAAAGCTCTCCCAGTGGCTAAGAACGGTCTTCCTGAAATGATAGGAATTTCCTTATCTACCTTGCAGTCCAAGATCACAAAATCTGCAGGGAAGACGAACTTCCCTACCTGAATCAGTACATCATCCAGGATCCCAAATGGACGCTTAACCGTCCTGTCTGCCAGCTGCAGCAGCATAGAGGTGGGTCTGGCTCTCCCAATGTCCAACCTCTTATAAATAACCAGGGGCATGAGATTAATGTTGGCCCCTAAATCACAGAGTGCCTTAGCAAAGGCGAAGTTACCAATAGTGCAAGGAATAGTGAAACTCCCTGGGTCAGAGAGCTTCTCAGCAACTGGTCTGGTCACCACTGCACTACAAGTCTACCTGAGCGTCACTGTGGCTAAATCCTGGAAGTCAAACTTCCGGGACATCAAATCTTTCATCATCTTAGCATACCCAGGCATTTCCTTTAAAGCTTCAATCAACGGAATGTTTACCTGAATCTGCTTGAGCATCTCAAAGAACTTCTTGTACTGTTCTTCCTTTTGATGGTTGGCCAGTCTCTGGGGAATGGTGCAGGTGGTAATTTCTTCCCAAGAACTTGGGACTTTGGCTTTTCAACCACTATCTCCTCAGCTGGTTCTGCAACTATTTCAGTAGCTTTCTCAGGCTCTTGCTGAATATTTTGTTCTTCAAGAACGGGATGAACTGTAACATTTGTCAGCCTTGTGGATTCATCCAGTTCGATAGGTACCTGAACAAGCGTCTCGGTCTGCACATTCTCACGATCTCTTTCTTGTTCTACATCAAGATCTCTCCCGTTTCGGAGACTCACTGCCATCAGCTGCTTTGGGCCCTGATCCCTAGGATTTGTTTGAGTATCTGCAGGCAATGTCCCTTGAGGACGATTATTCAAAGACATAGCAATTTGGCCTACCTGTACCTCAATATTTTTGATAGTTGTGTCATGTGCATCTACCCTCTCATTTATTTTCGCATTGGACCCAATTACCTGCTGCATCATCGCCTCTAGTCGAGAGAACCCATCTTCTTGTCTCCCACCGTGCTGTTGCTGAGGCGGATTATACCCTTGCTACTGATTGCACCCCGGAGGTCTAGGATATGGTGCCATATTGTTGGGAGGTCTCATGCCTCCCATGTTTCCGGCATTAAACTGCTGTGGCGGTGGCCTGTACGGCTGCTGATTCTGCTGTCCCCAATTTTGGTTTCCTTGCCTCTGACCGCTATAATTAGCCACATAATTCATGTCCTCTGGGTGCTGAGGATGGTGATCATGCTCTACATTCCATGGGTTACCAATAGTTTGACTGATGAAAGAAGTACACAAGCCCCCATTGGTAGTATCAAATATATGCACCAGTTGTTTCTGTTCTGACTCCTCCACCTTTTTGGTGAGGATGCTCATCTGTGTCATAAGAGTTGCCAAATTCTCAGCCATAGTGTTAGAGGGATCGAGAGGCACTGAGTGCACCACCGGAGTGATAGGTGCGTTCCTGGTTGTCCATCCCGAATTTTGTGCTATTTTATCAAGTAGAACCTGACCCTCTCTCCATGTTTTGCTCAGGAATGCCCCACCAGCTGAGGCATCTACAATATTCTTCATGCTGTCTGAGAGACCCAGATAAAAATGTTGCCCTAGCATCTGCTCTGGAACACCATGATGAGGACACATCACCAACATTCCCTTAAATCTACCCCACGTCTCATGCAAAGTCTCCATAGGCCTCTGTTTGAAACTCACAATGTCATCAATTTGCTGAGCTGTCTTATTGGGCAGATGGAACTTGAGGTGAAACTGTTTGACTAACCCATCCCAAGTTTCAATAGAGTTAATAGGGAGTGGGTTTTGCCACACCTGAGCAGCTCCTGTCACTGAGAACAGAAATAGTAGCAGCCTGATTGCTTCTGGAGTAACATTGGGCTGCCTCTGTGTCTTGCATATTGACAGGAAATTCTTTAAGTGCTGCTGAGGATCTTCTGTTTGCATCCCAGGGAAAAGACCCTTGTTTTGCAATAAGTGTAGCATGTTGTTTGTTATCTGGAATGATTCAGCCTGGATTGCGGGCACAACTATAGCAGTAGCCAAATTATCAGCTGTTGCCTGTGCCCAATCGTACAATGCACCATCCTGAGCAGGAGGTGCTGCTCCTCTGACATTAGCGTCAGCCTGTTGATTCACTACGTTCCCGTTTGGATCGTTCACGTCTCCTATTTTGGTGTCGAGATTGTTCAATTGTTGTGGCGGTTGAGTTCTCTTATTTGCACAATTCAATACCCGGACAGTTTTCTCAGGGTCTGCGAGTCCTTCTAGCAGTTCTCCAGTCCTTGCAGAATTTCTAGGCATACACCTGTGCAGCCAAATCAACCGTCAAAAAGTTCAATCAAAAATTTTGTTGTAAAGAAACTAGTTACACCAAGTATTCTTGTAAATCTATCAATGGAAATTGACAATTCCGTTAACTCCCCGGCAATGGCGCCAAAATTTGATCACGCCCAAACTATGCCCTCTAAAAGGACTCTGCGGACGTTGCAAATAAAACCCGAGTATTGCGCCCAGGGTCGAATCCACAGAGAGTTAACCTGTCTAAAACCACCTAAAGACCCACTCAAATCCTCAAGAACAGCTTCCCAAGACTTTCAAATCACAATAGAAGAGGTAATTACTAACTAATGGTTGGGTTAAACANTAAAGACCCACTCAAATCCCCAAGAACAGCTTCCCAAGACTTTCAAATCACATTTGAAGGGGCAATTACTAACTAATGGTTGGGTTAAACAAATAACTGAAAATAAACTACTATTGAGGTTGTAAACGATATAAGAGAGATGCTAAGGTCAAGACTTTCCCTATTGATGGAATCCCTTCTGTTTACGATTCATACAAATTTACCACAGTTCTATATCAACAATGAACACTTAGCTTATTATGAATTTCGACCGAATAATTACAACAATATACTATTGCACTCTCTCGAGATACATTAGCTAGCTTTAATTCGTACCGTTCATATAATGTTTCACCCAAGGCTTTGTTATTCCTAATCCCACCTTTAAACCCGCAGTTATAGATTACTCTTATTACTTTAGGAGAGGTGTTATTCAACAACGACTTAATTATGCACCATTTTCCAAGTTATGCACAATAAATAAGCACAGCTAATTGAGGATCCTGTCAATTAACTACAACAAGAATATAGTGAACAAATATAGATTAAACTGGCAAATTTGCATTAATCATCAACTAAAAGTTCATCACTCAATAGGTTCCATCAAGACCTTAGACAAGGGATTTAGCTACTCATAACTATGGGTAAACAAAATAATCTAAGATTTAACATAATCTAATGATAAAAATCAAACGGGGAGAAGAAATATGGTTGAGAGAATCTGTCACAATGTTTTCTCTTCCGCAATATGCTAGAAATTAGGCTACCATTATTTTTGGGCGAGTTTAGATCAATTATAGGGCTTTTACAAAAGTTTCCCCGACTTGACACTTTGGTCCCTGAAGTTTCTGCGCAGAACAGGGGTCCCGCGGCCGCAGGCCGCGGCCGCGGTCAGCACTGTGCGAAATTTTTCTTCTTTTCTTCGCTTCTTGCTTCGTTCTCTTGGGTCGGGTCCATCTTGAATGGGTAAATCTTCGTCTTTTCATTGCTAAACACTTCATTTATGCTACTATACCTTTTGCATTACCTGCGAAATCAAAAAGCATTAATAGAAGTATTTTACTAGCACTTTACATCACAAAACAACGATAAAGCATGGGTAATTATGGCGTAAACGCTCACTAATTAGCATCGTATCACTTATCCTAGATCGTGCCAAATTTGACGTGCTATCTAAGGTATCTAGCCTTTAAAATAGGTTGAAGTTGTCATATGGTTTTGAAAATCATGAAATATGGGTTTACTTATGTTAAGTTTATTTCCCTCCAAACTAGTCATTGTTAATTTCCAAGTGAAGTACCCTTTTTGGAAAAATAGCAACACTCTCAATTTAAAAGTCATGATATTTTCAACCAAAAATTCAGATTGTCTTGTACGTAGTATGTTGCTCCCAAACGCACACGCAAGTATACGTGGTCGACAAGTAATATAGAATTGTAAAGTCTAGATATCGTACCCACATGGACTTGTGATTAACTATCAACTAAATTAAACTAAAATAATTAATCTATTCAAGTGAATCCTAACGTATGAATATTTAACTAAATTTAATCAAGATTTGCAAATAAAGAGATTAAAGAAAACAACGAAACGCTTAACAACGAATTCAATGTGAGAGAATATTCTAGAGTTATAGGTTAGCTAACAATCCCGTTGAATTTTCCACTTAAATCGTCTAATTAATTTCTCTGATTTATTGGTTGACGGGGTTAATATAGCTTGTAGCCTTCTCCCGAAGTACAACCCTCCTATTCAAGCTAATCTAACTCCTATATTCCTATGAAATTAGAATTAACAAGAACGCATTATAATTCTCGTATAATAACCAAGCAACGCGATTAGGTATATTCCTATCCTAACCGCAAATCCCCTCTCCCCCCAAGAGTTAAGATCTTGTTCTACTCAATCTTATATGCAATCTAGAACTCCCTCTCCCGAGTTCAACCCTAGATTCGTTGATAGTATTCAATTGGTGATCAAGAAATCAAATAATTAAGCGTAAGATTGAATAAATAAACCAATATGATAAAATAATAAGAACAATTCAAGCTTCAAACTACAACGTTCATGTAGCACCCAAAACTCTAGAACTAATGAACTATGAAATTAAAGGAAGAGAAGACAAGAAAAACTAGTTAGAAACCTCCTCCAAGCGTGGTATGTGTTCCTCCATGTGAAACTTCCTTCAAAGTATATTAGATATCCTCAAAAGTGGCGTCCTCTTTTCAAAAATAAGTTTAGCCTTGCTTTTATATGTGTTGGATACGTCTAGGGCCGAATAAACCGTGTCCCGGGCAAAATAAGACAAAATTCGCGTCACCAATACCCAGCCCGGCGCCCGGCGCCCTCCATGGTGCCATATTATTTTTGCATACTGTTTTGGCGCCACAGGTGGCGCCAGGCGCTGCCTGTGGCGCCCAAATTCGCACATTGCCCGGTTTCGTTCGTTTTGGATCAAATATCGCTCTTTTCGCCCTGTTACGTTTGGAACTTGGAAAAATGTAAAACATGAAAGTTATAGCTCTTTGAGTTAGATTTCCAACCATATATTACAAAGACCAAATGGATTTCTGAGAAAAAAGTTATATCCATTTTACTAGACAATGCTCAATATGCCTACTCGATTCTTCGTTCGCTCTAACTATCATATGTTGACCCCCAAACACGATCCTGGCTTAATTCCTTGAGCTTTTACTCAGACTTCAAAGCTCCAAATTACTTGAATTCATTCCATAACATCTATATAGCTCGAAATCACTCCTAGAAGGCATAAAATACACAGTTAGTGCAAGACACTAGCGATTAAAGCTCTAACTCAATCAAAGTGCAGTAAATTGGAGTGTAATAAGCGACTAAAATAAGTAATTATAGCTTATCATCATAGTACTTATATAATTTTGAAAAATTTAAGGATTTCCTAAAGAGACATGTGATCTCGACTCTTCCGACTTTTTGTACAAATAAATTTTCATAGACCAAGCTATCATTGCCGAAAGTAAGGATTTAATTATTCTTCATCTTATATAATACTTTTAATATACTATCGATTGGGTAGTTTATAAAATTAAAAAAAAAATAATGATTAAAATTGGTGGTCCTAAAATCTTCCATTAAGAATAATTTTAAAAAAAAAAAGAGAAGCTTAGAGTGCACAATATTTCTTTGCACCACCAATCAGTTTCCAAGTTTCTTTTATTATCGCCGACATGTTTTCTACTACAAATTTCAACACTACAACCACATCTTTGTTTCTGTTTTAATTTCTTTTTTTGATAATTAAGAATGAATATAAACGCAAGTTTCGCTATAGTTACTATTTACCATAGATGTTTGATAA